TGCATATGGGAAGAAGAACAAGAAGAGGAGGAGGAAGAGGAGGAGGAGGAAGAGGAGGAGGAAGAGGAGGAGGAGTTTGGATTTATACCAGAAGAGGAGGAGGAAGAGGAGGAGGAGATTGGATTTATACACCACCCTTCACTCGGGAGTCTCAGAGCTGATTACAAACTCCTTTCCCTTCCCCTCCCCACAACAAACATCCTGTGAGGTAGGCGGGGCTGAGAGAGCTCTTTCGAGCACTGCCCTTGAGAAAGTTTGACAGAACTATGGCTTGCCCAAGGTCATCCAGCAGCTGCAAGTGGAGGAGTGGGGAATCACACCCGGCTCTCCCAGATTAGAGTCCGCGCACTTAACCACTACACCAAAATTTGTATCTTTGTTTCATGGCATTATGCCCCTTGTACATCGCCCAGAGCCCGCTGTAAGCAGAGATAGGGCAATTAACCAATAAAATAAACAATAATAAGATCAGAGCTCCTAACCACTACACCACACTGGCTCTGAAAGGGCAGACTCCCGAATGCTCCACGGTTCCTGCACCAGCCAGGTCTTGAAACTCATTAGGAGCTGGTTGCGTGCCACAACCTACCTCGTTGATCATCTCGATTTCTCGAAAGGTCAGTCTGTCCAGCCAGTCTACTTTCACCATGTGACCCTGCCGGTGAGACTTGGTGAGCTGCCGCGGAGGAAACATACAGACGTATTATTTAAACGGCTGCAGCTAAAGACGGGGGGGGGGATCGTTTTTGAGAGTTTTCACGTTGAAGACAGTGGTGGGAAAAGAATATACACGATTCTACATGATGTACATTTCACACACACCCAAAAAATGAAGATGTGCTGAATGGCCGTTATGTACAAAAGGCTTATCTCACGAGATCATCTTTGCGGGAGAGTCCAAGGGACAGAAAATGTTTCCCAGGGGGCTTAATCGAGTCAAAAATGAGCGGTTTTGCCCTGACCTGGATCGCCCAGGCAAGCCTAGTCTCGTCAGATCTTGGAAGCTAAGCAGGGCCGACCCTGTTAAGTACTTGGAAGGGCGACCTCCAAGGAATACCAAGGCTGGGGCACAGAGGCAGGCAATCAAGCCACCTCTCTGAAACGCCCAGAAGTCAGCATGACTTCTAGGCACACATGCACACACACGCAGACACACATACACACAAAAGGAGTGATTTCGCTCTCACCAATTATGACTGCAGATCCGCACAATCCTAAACATGCTTAACCTGGAAGCTCCACTGAGTGGGAAGGAAACTGCTCCCCAGTAAGTTCACTTAAAAACGACCATCTTAAGCACGTTTAATTTCCGACTTCCGGTTTGTGGCGCGACGCAACGGGGTTGAGCGGAGGAGTTCTCCCGTCTCAACGCCGATTTCCCGGTGTTCTGGAGGGGTCAGGAGGGGCAATCCCCCCCCGGACTCCTGTGAATCCCCCGGAGAGGGATTCACGTGGGGAGAGACGGGGTTAGACGGTCCCAGGTGGCGACGTGGGACTGAGCTGCCCTATCTCCAGTGCCCGGACCCGTGGACATACTCCTTTACGGAGCTGAGTCGGAGCCGCCGGTTTTACAGATCTCGGACTTTAAACAATTTGGAAAACAAGAAACCAGAGAAATAAGACCATAGCTGGATACCTTGGGGTGAACTTGAGCAGTGTATCCGACTTTAAAAGCGTGGTTGGAAGGAGCTGAGGATGCGGAAGGTGAGGATTGAGCGGCTGGGAGTGGCTCCGCGTCCGAGCGGCTGCTGAACTGAAACTTGTGACCGTAATCAACCTAAGAATCTGGCATACTGCATTTAACCTAAGAGACCAGCAGATGATTCGATATAGAAATCTAGGTGAAATCCAGGTGAAGCTGTAAACTATGACTTTTGGGCTGAGGAACTGATTGTAAATATCTATTGTTGTAAGACCAATGAGAAGACGGTGGATGAATGGAGTATTATTAAAGGACTGGCCAAGTGTTTAGTGTCTAGGGAAACACCATTTGAACTACTTGGAACTTTATAACTTTAATTGAAAGAAGCATTGGAACTCTGAGTCGAGAAGTTTTTGTTTTTGTGTGAAAGCTTGAAGTTAAATGTTTAAGAATCCGGAAGAGCAGGAAGGTGAAGAAGTTGATATGTGAGTTGCCTGACCCTTTATATTACCTGGCACTACGTAGACTGAGTGTAATTAAGAGCTCGCTGGCGGGTCGAAACAGACTAAGAGACATTGCTCAAGACTGTTTATGAGTTTGTTTGTGGACTACCCTCTTACTGCTTGAACTGTTAAACTGTGGGTTTCAAACTGTTGTCAAGGGCTTTTTATGAGTTTGTCTGTGGACTGTAACTGCTTGAACTGTTAAACTGTGGGTTCAATATTGCTAAGGGTGGAGGGAGGAGGGAATTTGGAGATCCCATAGAAGCTGTTAAAGGAAGATACTGACCAATACTAGGTAAACTAGAGTGGCCAAACTAATCCAGAAGTTAACAAGGGGGAAACCTAACATAACAGAAATTTGGCGTGACAGAAGCAATAGGTAAATAGGGCTATTATGGCTAGTGGATCGAGAAGACCCTCCTTCTCTGCCCCTATGCAATCTGGACATTCAGGACAAGCTGCAATGACTCAGTTAAATCCAAAAGAAATGAATGCGCTTATTCAAGAGGCTGTTAAAGCGGCAGTGAACCAGGCTGTTGAAGGTGCAGTGGCTGCAGCCTTACCAGAAGCATTGAATGCAGCATTGGAATCTGCTTTATATCCAGTGATAGGAAAAGCGATGGAGCCAATACAAAGCAAAATTGACAACTTAGCGCAACAAGTTAATTGTCAATTGGAAGAAACAAAAAAATTGGCATTGGATAACAAGCAAGATGTTGAAATGCTAATTAATACAGCCAGTAAACTAGAAACTAAGGTAGCAGACAGTGAACAGAAGATAATAGCCTTGGAAGAAACCGTATCCAAATTGGAAATGGAAAATGCATCATATCTCCTGAGGTTCCAAAATCTACCGGAGGAGGAGGAAGAAGATCTGAAAAGTAGAATGACACAAATTATAGCTGAATATGTTGAACAAGAAGATGTCTCACGAATAGAGGAGGATATTGAATCAACATATCATATGAACTCAGGTTATGCGAAAAAAAATAAACTCCCGAGAGAGGTCCATGTTAAGTTTGCAAGGAAACGTTTACGTGAACTGATTCTGAAGACAGCAACACATAAGTCATTAATTTGTCAGGATAAAGAAATAAAGATTCTGAAGGACACCCCCTGGAGGGTCAGGGAAAAAAGGAAACTGTACTTTAAATTAACATCTGCTCTGAAACAAAAAGGAGTCAAATTTAAATGGCTGTTACCAGAGGGTGTCCTCTTTAATTTTAAATCAAGATGGTACAAAATAAACTCTGATTTAAAAATGGAAGAATTTATTAAAAAGAATGGACCAGAATTAGATATACAGTCATCAGAGGGAAGTAGTGAAGAGGAAGAGGAGGAGGAAGAATCAGAAGAGGATCCAGAAGAGGGACAAATAAGTACCAAGAAAAAGAAAGGAAGATCCTCAAGAAAAAGAACACTCCCTTTACAAGTGCGTACCAGGATGTTCTATAGGAGAGGGGGGGAAAACAAGCAAGATGGAAAGGAAGAGAAATGTGGAAATTAAATTACTATCGATTAATATTAATGGCCTCAATGGCCCTCAGAAAAGGAAAAGAACCTTCCATCAGTTGTTAAAATCCAACGCACATGTATTCTGTATGCAGGAGACACACATTAAAAAAGAACACCAAAAATATCTGGAAAATAAGAGACTAGGGGTGATGTTTGCATCTTCAGATGATATGAATAAGAAGAAAGGCGTGGTGACATACATCAAGGAAATATTTAATCCAGAATTGATTCATGATTTCCGAGACGGTAGAATATTGATTGTTAAAATGTTTATGGGAACTAAAGCCATGCTGATTGTAAATATATACGCCCCAAATTCCGGTCAAGATAAGTTTTATCAGCAACTTAGAGATATTCTAGTGCAGCAAGAGTATGATGAAATTTGTGTGGTTGAGGATTTTAACGCTGTATTTGACAGAATGTATGATAGGAAGAATCAAGTATCCAGGGACAAAAAAGGTTGTGAGTTACCTTTATCTTTTTTAAAGTTAGTAGATGAAATAAATTTGGTTGATCTTTGGAGAGTCTGTAACCCTAAAAAAGCTGATTATACCTTTTATTCGGGACGACACAGATCATGGTCCCGAATCGATATGATTTGGTCAAGTATGGGATTGTTAAATGATCTCAAGGAGGTAGAAATATTGCCTTTGACCTATGCTGACCATAACCCAGTCTCTTTAACATTATTGGACACTCCTAAAATGACCCGATGGCGGCTCAACACATTTATGCTTAGAAATGAACAACATTAAGAATGTAAAGAACGAGATAAAGGAATTTTTTTCAATTTAATGTCAGACCTGAAACTCAATTAATAACGGTTTGGGATGCTTTTAAAGCATTTGTTAGAGGGATCTTTATTCGTGAAAGTATAAGGAGGAAAAGAGCTGATAATCGAAAAATGATGCAACTGAAGAGAGATATTCAAGAACAAGAGGAGAAATTAAAGAATAAGCCGGATTTAAAATATATCAAAATGAAGATTCTAAAATTACAACATGAAATTAATGGTCTGCTCAGTGAGGAAATTGCGAAAAAAGTTAAATATGCTAAGCAAAATTATTTTGAAAGTGCGAATAAGCCAACTCGCTGGTTGACATACAAGTTAAAACAAGAAGAAAAACAAAGGGTTATTAAAGTATTAAGGAATGAGAGAGGTGAACCTAAGCATAGAATAGCGGATCTGAAGGATATAGTAACAAAACTCTATAGTGAACTATACAGGAAGGATGTCATTGATGTTGATGCAATTCAGAGCTTTTTAAAAAAGAATGTATATATAAAGAAATTAAGCAAGGATCAAAGGGAAATATTAAACCAGAAAATAACAATGGCAGAAATATCGGGATCAATTAGAAATCAAAAGATAAATAAGTCCCCTGGTCCTGATGGACTGCCAGCAGAGTTTTATGCAGTTTTTGAAGAGGAATTTGTTCTAATATACAAACAGATTATAGCAGATATACCACAGACAAGGAAAATTCCAGAGTCATGGGACTCAGCACTAATTTCGCTAATTCATAAAAAAGGTACTGACGAAAAGGAAATACGGAATTACCGCCCTATTTCGTTGCTTAACGTTGACTATAAAATTTATGCTTCTATTCTGGCTCAACGCATGAGAAAGGTACTCGCACATCAAATACATTCAGACCAGGCCGGGTTTCTACCTAAACGGCAAGTGAATCAAAACATCAGGATTATTCTGAATGCCCTGGAATATTGTGAGACAGATATTAGTAAGCAATTAGCAATAATTTTTATCGATGCCGAAAAGGCGTTTGATAACGTTAATTGGGACTATATGATTCAGAATCTAAAAGAAGCAGACTGTGGAACGGATTTTATTACCGCTATAGAAGCAATTTACGATAAACAAGACGCAAGGGCAATAGTTAATACAGACATGACCAATTAAATAGATATATGTAAGGGCACACAACAAGGGTGCCCTCTATCACCGCTTTTATTTATTTTCACAATAGAAGGTCTATGTGAAAGTATCCGAAGAGA